AGGGTATCTGAGCATGCGTATATTTAGAAGTCCAACGTTTTAGACTGCTGCCCTGTATGAGTATCCTGGGGTATTGCCCCTGGCGGCCATGTTTGAAGTCTGAGGTTTATGCGGGGATTTGTAGTAAAAAAAAAAAAAAAGTTAACACATATTTAGACTAAACAATTATATTCAATAATAATATGATATACCTATGATAAAACAGACTTGACATGTACATGTTGTAACGGATCAGCCGTTGTTGTGTTATTTCGTGAAATAGCATTAGGATTTGGTTGTGTGTTCTTGAAATCAGACAATTGTCTTTGTCTTAAGAAAAAGTCAAACAGTCCCATCTGCTATCAGAATATTCAGTCTGTCTTCATCATGAAATAATGAATCCAATCTAGAAAATGTGTGTTGTGATAGACAGGGTGCTTCATGACCCAAAGGGGTATGTTTGTTGTGTTCTCTACCTCTGCATGTCTTCATCTCATTGACCGTAACTAGTATTTAGGATGACCAGGAAGGCAAGGCATGTTTATTTATATAGCACATTTCATACAAAATGGTAATTCAGAGCGCTTTACATAAAAGGAAGTAAAATAATAATAAAAAAATATAATAATCACAACAGTAAAACAAGGAATAAAAAAAAAACTTTTAAAATGATTTAGAAATTGATTTAAAATGAATTAAAAGAGTTAAGAATAGAAAATGGTTATACATAAAATACAGTGCAGCCAGTTCGGACGTAGCACAGTGCTCATTCAGTAAATGCACAGCTAAACAGAAAAAATGACCCTAACTCCAGAATCACACCAAGATTCTTGACTTGTTTTTAGTTGTTTGACCCCTAGAGTCAAGGTATGTATTCGCCTTGAGAACTTCGTCTTTGTTTCCAAATGCGCGGACTTCAGTACATGTTTGTAAGGGTGATAGTGGATAACGTCGCATGTCAACTATTAGTTCGAATAATTAACATAATTGAATAATATGGCAATATTTTAAATGTATTGTTTTAAATAAAGAATATAATATGCATTTTGAAATATTTAAACGATAGATGATATGGATAGTAAAGATACCTTTAACATAAAATATATAAAATATAATCACTGTCGTTAGATGTATAGGTGATAATTTTTTACTTTTCAAAATAAACTTTTTGCTTTTAAATAGAGGTATTTTTTGAGCAGCTACAGAGGCCCTGCAAAATGTCTCTTCCTATCTGTGCCTGTGTAAAGTTTACGACCATAGCAAAAGTCAAATAATGACGATTTCACGGCTATATTTTCTCCATATGTGAAAACACCATTTGTGTTTACACACACTTTTTAAATGAAGCACAACATAGCCTAAT